TGACCGTCCATTCACACAGAATTACCCTCTCTCCTCTTCAATCACATCTTCCAGTGCAGTGGGACAAGCAGTACTATCCACAGTGACTAACACAGAGCTCCAAACCCACCTCCATGGGCCGACAACTGCTGTGTAGTCACCCAGAGTGGAGCACCCACAGGGACACCACTCCAAGGAGAAGAAAGAGTTACTCACCTTGTTACTCACACAGTTCTTCAAGATGTGTCCCCCCATGGATGCTCCACTACCCTCCATCCTTCCCCTGCTTTGGAGCCCCATGCTCTAACAGGTAGAGAAGGAACGGAGGGGCCGTGCTGTGCTGTGCGCGCCTAACAGACTCCAACGGTACAAAGGGGCACCACAGCACATGCACGGCATGGTGGAAACCACTGGAAAAGTCTCCAGTCACCAGCATGAGGACACATCAGCACCCGGAGTGGAGCACCCACGGGGGGACACATCTCGAAGAACTACCATTACTGCACAAGGTGAGTAACTCTTTCTTCCTCTGCTGCTCTTCAGTTTTGAATATCAAATTACACTTCTCTCCTGGCGAACTATGACCACACCAACTACATTAGGCTACAGGAGCTTCTGCAAGACCTCCCTGAGTAAAAAGGCCCCAACTCCAATCCATAATAAAAGAGGGCCAATCAATAGCATAAACAGCCCTTCAGGCATCTCTGGACGTAGCTGACATGGTAGCGACTGTGAGAGTCATGCACAGGGCTTCATGGTTGCAATCTTCTGGAGTCCCAAGAGAGTTGCAGACAAAGATAGAAGATTTCCCTTCAACAGGAACTAACTATTTGCGGCCAAGACAGACAAAGTCCTATATTCAGTGAAGGACTCCCACAAATCACTTCCAACATTAGGCATGTACACCCAGCCTAATAAAAGATAAACTCCATACCAGAGGCCAAGAAATACTATCAGAGACAGCAGCAGGGTCCATATGATAACAGACCCAAACAGCGTTTCAATAGAACATAATCAGTCCTCTAATAACCAACCAACTACAACCAAATTTGAAGATGTGGTCAGGGGTCTGAGCGACCATCCCACCGATCCAGTGATACCACTCCTATTTTCCACCACCATTTGAGGCCCTTTTTGCACAAATGGGCTCTCTTCACTACTGACAAATGGGTCCTAGAGATCATCAATACTAGCTACACAATTAACTTTCATCTCTATATCCCCTACCCATCCCCTTTCCCTATTCCTCTTCAGGGACCCCTCTCATGAGCCCCTTCTATGAGCAGAGGTACAAAAACTACTCAGCTTAGGGGCAGTAGAGCTGGTCTCTCCAGAATTTCAAAGAATAAGGTTTTATTCCAACTATTTCCTAACTGCTAAGAAAACAAGGGGTTGGAGGCCTATTTTGGATCTCAGAAAGCTCAAATTCATACACAACGGCAAGTTTCGAATGGTGACTCTGGGAATTATTATACCAGCACTTGATGACAGGGACTGGTTCTTAGTCCTTGACCTTCAGGATGCATATTTTCATATAATGATACACTCGACACTTAGGTTTCTCATATTTATGGTAGGTGAAGACCTCTAACCATTATTGAGTCCTTCCTTTTGGACTTCCCATGGTTCCACTGGTCTTTTCTAAAACTCTGGCTGTGGTTAAGGCATTCTTCAGGAGGCAGGTCATCATTATATTCCCCTACCTGGACAATTGCTTAATCAAGGGCTCCTCACATCAGCAAACACTAATCATGACAAATGCCATCAAGGACTGCTTCTCTCACCTGGGTCTACTCATAAACATCTAGAAATCCACCCTAGAGCCGACCCAGAAGATAGAGTTTATTGGGTCATTCCTGGATGCTGTGACAGCCAGAGCCTACTTTCTGCTACAGCAGATCCAGACACTATATGAACTTATCAAGGGAGTCATACATACTCCCTTTATGACTGCACACATATGCCTTCAGATTCTAGGACACATGGCAGCTATTACATTTGTTGTCTCCCATGCGAGGTTACACATGTGCTGCCTATAGATTTGGCTTGCAACCATTTACATTCCCAACTGACATAGTCACACAAGATGTCTTACAGTTCCTCCATTAGTTCTCCGATCTCTCAAAAGGTGGACCTCCCCATGCAATCTCCTCATCATCAATGGTCATCACAACCAATGTATCATAACTAAGTTGGGGTGCCAACTGCAGCACACAGACAATCCAGGGCAGATGATCACGATCTGAGATGCAGCTTCACATCAACACTCGAACTCGGGGTCATCTGCAGTGCATATGCACACTTCTTTACCATCATCCAGGGCAGAACCATATATATCCTCATGGACAACACACCCTCTACGTTTTATATCAACCAGCAGGAGCAATCAGGTTCTGGAACTGGAATAGACTCGTCTCAGAAAAGCACGAGTGGGAGTTCAGCCTCAATGTCATCCTCCCAATCTTCCGACAATGGGAGTTCCCAGTCAGACTTATTTGAGACAGCAGCCAATGGCAAATGTCACCGCTTCTGCTCCCAAGCGAGTTGAGGCAAGAGATCAGAGGGAGATGCCTTCACTATACCCTAGACCTCTCCCCTTTTGTATGCCTTCCCACTGACCCCCTTACTCTTTAGGGTGATCAACAAGATTTGCACAGACTGAGCCACAGTGATTCTAATAGCGCCCTACTGGCCAAGACAACCGTGGTTTTCCTATCTGCACCATCTATCAGTTGTCCACCTGATCCCCTTCCCTACTGGTCCCCACTTACTGACCCAGAATCAAGGCAAAACTCTCAAATAAAGCTCAGGGCCCTCAAATGCACAGCATGGCTTCTTCAAGATTCCAAAATGAAGAACTTACCTGTTCAGAGAGAGTGAAGCAGATCCTCTTGAATAGTCAGTGCTTCTCCATGAGGTAAACCTACAAAAACACATGGAAATTATTTCAAGAGTGGTGTCGCCATTGTTAATGGCTACCAAACACTGTTCCAATAACTATCATGCTGGAATACCTGATGGACCTTTATATTAGTTCCATTCATGTCCACTTGTCCGCCATCACAGCTTTCCATGAACCAGGAAGTGTTTCTTAATGGGTTTGCAAAAGATGCATCCAAATTTACATCTGCCATTGCCACCTTGGGACTTAAACCTTGTGCTTGGCACACTCACAGAAATAACCCCTCCCCTTTGAGTCATTAGCCATTGCTTCTCCACAACATCTAGCTATGAAAGTAGCCTTGATAGTGGCAATTACCTCTGCCAGAAGGGTAAGGGAAATTGCAGCCCTGATGGCTCATCCTCCATACTATTTTTGCCAAGGATAAAATCATCCTCAGAGCTCATCACAAGTGCCTTCCTAAAGTTATATCGGACTTTCACCTCAATGACTCTGGACATTAGATGAGCCCTTGTGTTCTACATAGATAGAACCAAGGAATTCAGGAAATCAGACAGACTTTTCATTTCTACGTCTGGTTCCCATGGAACAGCTGTCTCTGCATAACATGTCCAAGTGGATTGCTAATTGCATATACACTTCCTACTGTCTATAGAAGAGAACCACCACAGACTATCACAGGAGATTTTTGCACCGAGGCCTGAGTGGAGCACCCACAGGGATATACATTTCACAGAACCATTGCTACTGAACAGGGCGAGTAATATCTTCATCTAAATAATTCCTTCCTAGTTTCTTTAACCTTACAGGTCATAGATTTTCTTATGGATACATTTCAGCTTTTTAAAATAATTTCTTAAAGCATTCTTAAACAATTTCCAACTGTCATTCACTTATTTTTTCCTCCCACTCAATTTTGCTCATAATTGTGTTCAGCTCTGGGAATTTTGACCTCAGTAAAGAACCAGTTTCTTTGTTTGTGATTATATTCTATTTGCCCATAACATGTTTTACATGTGACAATGTTGTTGGGAAGTGTTCTTGTAGGATTGGGGTCTGAATTAGAGTATTTTGAATTCTCATGAAGTTTCTGATAAACTCACTGGTTGCGTCTAGACTGGCATGATTTTGCGGAAATACTTTTAACGGAAAAGTTTTCCGTTTTAACACAAAAATACTTTTAACACAAAAGAGCGTCTAGATTGGCACGGATGCTTTTGTGCAAAAAGTGCTTTTGCGCAAAAGCATACGTGCCCAGTATAGATGCGCTTTTGCACAAGAAAGCTCCAATGGCCATTTTAGCCATCGGGCTTTCTTGTGCAAAAAATTAAGGTGCCTATCTACACTGACCCTCTTGCGCAAGTATTCTTGCACAAGAGGGTTTATCCCTGAGTGGAAGCATCAAAGTATTTGCGCAAGAAACTCTGAATTCTTACATTAGAACGTCAGTGCTCTTGCGCAAATTCAAGTGGCCAGTGTAGACAGCTTTTGCTCAAAATCTTGCCAATCTAGATGCACCCACTCTGTATACTGCAACATATGCAGTATGTGAAATTTTTGGCTTCCAAAGGTATTACTATCAACAGGGAATATACATTATTGAAATTACTTGCCACAAGTTGTCCAAAATTACTTGCACAGATATCCAATCACTGCATTCTGGTTTTTAATCAAAAACATCAATTAAGTATCTTTAAGTAAGGAATACTGTCATATAAAATAGTAAATCTAGTTTAAGTTATCTAGGTCTGAGGGGGGGGGAAATGAAACCTTTGGAAATGGTGTGTTCAAAAGTAGTCACATTTCATTACCTTTAATAAAGTCCTTGAGGTCCTTTCCTGAGCAGCTGTAGCTTAAAGAACTGTCAATACACTCACATTTTGAGAGGCATAGCTGATTCTGAAACATTTTTGCCTGATGCAGTGAAAAAAGGAGGAAACATTTTCATTTTTGATTCATGTAATTGAGAAGAAATTCCCCCCAGGGAAATACGTACAATGCAGAACTCAACCTACATTAGTTTTTGAATCAACCATCAATCTTTGTCAGAGGATATACCTGAGGTGATGTTTACTTGTAAAATATTTTTAGTAGTTTTATTCTTTTTCTTTTAAAATAGACTCTTCCTTGGAGACACTGTGGAAATTCATGGAACACGGAACACTGTTTCTCCAATTACAGTATAGCAAATACCACCAACATGACAAGTGCTGTGGTCGAATTTTGGGAGTAAGCTGAGCAGAATTTTTCTATACATAATTTGTGTGCATATGCATAGTTCAGCTACATCATACATACTTCTGAATAAGTGGTTGTTAAATGCATCATTCTTTTTGCTGATTCTAGACGCAACATGCATCAAATGACAGATGGGCTGGAAAAGTCAGGGCAGATCCGATGGCCATTAGCGATTACCCTGGCAATTGCCTGGATTTTAGTGTATTTTTGCATCTGGAAGGGGGTAGGCTGGACAGGAAAGGTAAGCTTTAGAACTGTGAATACTCTTAAATTAAAGCTATGCCTATTTTGCCCAACAAAATATTCTGAAGACCCCTCTGAGATTGCTGCTTTACTATAAAGTACAGAATCTTCCATTTTCCTTCCTTGGCTCTGTCAAGCATATTTTAACACAACATATGAAGGTTTTTGATAAATACTCAAAAATTACTAGGTAATTACTAAAAATGAGAGAGAAAGACAGACCAGATGGGGGGGACGGAATGAATAATTTGTTACATTAATCTCTGTGGGTGGAAGGGGAAAACTTTGCAGCTTCACAGAACTCTCCCTGAGGTCTGGAGAAGACAATTAGAGTGTACAAGGTTAAATAATTCAAACATCTTGTAAAACTCCACTTAAAATGAAGTAGGCAATTGCCTACTTATATCCTGGAACCAACACAACTACAACATTACAAACAATGACTACAAATGTTCCTACAAATTGAGCCTTTAGCTATGATCTTTGAAAAATCATGGCAGACAGGGGAGATTCCAGAAGACTGGAAAAGGGCAAATATTGTGCCCATCTATAAAAAGGGGAATAAGAACAACCCAGGAAATTATAGACCGGTCAGTTTAACGTCTGTCCCAGGGAAGATAATGGAGCAGGTAATTAAGGAAATCATATGCAAACACTTGGAAGGTAATAAAGTGATAGGGAATAGCCAGCATGGGTTTGTGAAGAACAAGTCATGCCAAACTAATCTGATAGCTTTCTTTGATAAGATAACGAGCCTTGTGGATAAGGGAGAAGCGGTGGATGTCATATACCTAGACTTTAGTAAGGCATTTGATACGGTCTCGCATGATATTCTTATTGATAAACTAGGCAAATATAACTTAGATAGGGCCACGATAAGGTGGGTGCATAATTGGCTGGATAACCGTAGTCAGAGAGTTGTTGTTAACGGTTCTAAATCCTGCTGGAAAGGGATAACAAGTGGAGTTCCTCAAGGGTCTGTTTTGGGACCCGTACTGTTCAATATCTTCATCAATGATGTAGATATTGGGATAGAGAGTACTCTTATTAAGTTTGCAGATGATACCAAACTGGGTGGGGTTGCAACTTCTTTGGAGGATAGGGACATAATTCAAAATGACCTTAGCAAGTTAGAGAAATGGTCGGAGGTAAACAGGATGAGGTTTAATAAGGAGAAATGCAGAGTGCTCCACTTAGGAAGGAACAATCAGTTCCATACATACAAGATGGGAAGCGACTGTCTAGGAAGGAGCATGGCGGAAAGGGATCTAGGGGTCATAGTGGACCACAAGTTGAATATGAGTCAACAGTGTGATGCTGTTGCCAAAAAAGCAAATATGATTCTAGGTTGTATCAACAGGTGTGTTGTAAGCAAAACTCGTGAAGTCATTCTGCCGCTCTATTCTGCACTAGTTAGGCCTCAGCTGGAGTACTGTGTCCAGTTCTGGGCGCCACATTTCAAGAAAGATGTGGAGAAATTGGAAAGGGTACAGAGAAGAGTGACAAGAATGATTAAAGGTCTAGAGAAGCCTATGAAGCCAGGCTTCATGAACTGGGCTTGTTTAGTTTGGAAAAAAGAAGATTAAGGGGGGACATGATAGTGGTTTTCAAATATCTAAAAGGGTGTCACAAGGAGGAAGGAGAAAATTTGTTCCTCTTGGTTTCTGAGGACAGGACATGGAGTAATGGGCTTAAAGTGCAGCAGGGGAGGTTTAGATTGGACATTAGGAAAACATTCCTAACTGTCAGGGTGGTCAAATATTGGAATAAATTGCCAAGGGAGGTGGTGGAATCTCCCTCTCTGGAGATATTTAAGAACAGGTTAGATAGACATCTGTCAGGGATGGTGTAGACGGAGCTTGGTCCTGCCTTGAGGGCGGGGGGCTGGACTCGATGACCTCTTGAGGTCCCTTCCAGTCCTATGATTCTATGATTCTATGATAATGGAAAACTTCATGAAAAATGGGTCAACTTAAAACCATGTAATATGGATGTAGATGTGCAACTGTGGTGCATTTAGCCCAATATGTTTAGTAATGTAACCTCTACCTTACCTGTGTGTAAGAAGAAATTCACAGCTTCATACTTTGGTTAAAGAAGTTAGTCCCTGCTTAATGAAGCAGCTGTCCGTGGGGGGAGGAGAAAGGTTCTAGTTTAAGGAGTTGATTCTGACTTACCCTAATGCTTCTTTGTACCACTCTGCCAGTGTAAAGGAGAGCAGATTGATTACACTCACTTTTTGAGGCCACTTTATCTACTATACTACCAGTCTTAGAATAAATGAGAGTCGGGGGGTGGGGGAGGGAAACCCACACAACCCTGAATCAACCGTTTGGAAATTTTCATTCTAGGTTTCCTGTGACCAATAATGCCAAAGTAAATCCCATACTGGATAATTAACTCTTTAACTTTGCCACAAGGATGTAGGTTTTCCAACACTCCTGTATTCTTATTACAAGGTACCTATTGTGGCAAAGCTCCAGCCTTGCCACACAGATCCTGCACATCTAGGGGGATAGCATTTCTCTCAGAGGCTCTCAGTGACATTCTGCATAGCCTCTTGCCCTTTACTAGAGATAAGGGTCACAGACTACTAAGCCATTCTCATCATAGGCCAGACAAATGGGTTTGGGGTGAACTACTCTTTAGTCCCAAACGCCCCCTTCAAGGGTTGCCACTGTAACAGTGCAGGGAGAGTTGGAATGAGGACCCAGGCCTGCTCTCTGATCTGAGAGCAGATTCTTCTTACACACAGGTAAGGTAGAGGTTACATTACTAAACATTAATGCAACATTAGCCCAGGGACCCTAATGGCAGCAGTAGGAGGAAGTAGTAATTTCTCTACCACCAGAGCAACAGCATCTCTCTGGGCAACTTCCCCAACCAACTCCTCCCAGTAGCTTTCTCCTAGTACCTGACCTCAATCTTCTGCTCTTCCCCAGCACCTCTTCACTCCCAGTCCTTACCTGCTAGCCCTGCCTGATGGGAGGCTTTTTAAACTAGCCCCAACAAGTCCTTAATGGCCTTCAGGTGCTCAGATTAGCCTGCTGCTTCTGGAAAGTTCTTAACTGGCCCCAGGTGCCAGCCTGACTTAGGGTATGTCTACCCTACAAAGTTAATTTGAACTAAGAGCCGTTAGTTCGAATTAACTTTGATAGGCACTTCACATACAAACCGCTAGTTCTAACTTAATTCGAACTAGCAGAGCGCTTAATTCGAGCTAGGTAAACCTCATTCTACGAGGACTAACGCCTAGTTCGAATTAACTAGTTCGAATTAAGGGCTGTGTAGCCACTTAATTCGAACTAGTGGGAGGCTAGGCCTTCCCAGCTTGCCCTGGTGGCCACTCTGGGCCAAACCAGGAAAACTCTTCTGCCCCCCTCCTGGACCCGGAGCCCTTAAAGGGCCACTGTCTGGCTACACTGCTTGTGCCAGTTGCAAGCCTGCCAGCACCCAGCCAACAGACCCTGCACCTGGCACAGGATGAGCCAGCCACCCGCTGCCACCCAGCCCTCCCCCTCTTCCGAGGACCAGGCTGGCAGCTCCCAGGAGCCTGCCCAGGGCCTCAAGAAGCAGGTGCCGACCTGGTCAAGTGTGGAGATCGTGGACCTCATCGAGGTTTGGGGGGAAGCGTCCAATGTCCATGATCTCCACACTAGCCACAGGAACGTGGCCGTCTACAGCCGCATGGCTGGCACCCTG